ATATGGTATTTAATCACTGTATGATTCATCGGCAAGCTCTTGTTGCAAAAGATATGGATAAAGAGTTGCACAACGTATTACAAGACGCTGTTAGTTCAATTAACTACACTCATGGACAAAAAAATTAAGCGCACCAAGAAGGAGTCGTCTAAATTAAACAAAATTTTACATACGTAATGACTACTTTGATATAAGTAAATGATTAGAAAATCAAAGAAAAAGGATAATTTATTTCAGAGATAAAGGCAAAAGAACGGAGGAGTTAATACCCCGTTGGACCCCCTCTAGCGCAAATGCACGATGTGATACGATCAGGCATTGAGGCATCTAAGTTCTATATGATGTCTTGAGACATTTCGCTCCATATTTGCTATAACCTTGCCTCTAGTTCGTTCAAACTCGTGGGATGCCCAATTCGCCGTCCCAAATGATCCCAGATTAGCTCGATTGGAGACAAATCTGGGGAACGGGCAGGTAACAGTACGGAGACAGTCTTGTGACACCCTTGCCGTATGAGGCCGAGCATTGTCTTGTTGAAAAATGGTTCCTGGGAGCCGTAGCATTTCATGGACATACCGCTGGGCTGTCATGGTGCCACGGAATAATACTAGGGGTGACCGTGTATTGTAGGCAATGGCACCCCCTGCAATCTAACCAGCTGTGGGAGCGATGTGTCGCTGTACAGCAAAGGCAGGATTGAGGCGTTCACCACGGGGTCTCCACACACGAACACGATTGTCATCACTGCTGAGATTGAATCTGGATTCGTCGCTAAAGACGACCTTGTTCCATTCCGCTGCAATTCAGTTTCCTCGTGCGCGGTCAAACTCTAAACGGAGGTGTCGATAGGTGGGCGTCATGGGCAGCACACGCAATGGGCGCTGCGATACCAACTGTCCTTCAGCCAGGCGCCTTCGTATGGTTCGAGAAGACAGAGGGGCCCCTAGTATTGTTCGGTGGCACCATGACAGCCCGGCGGTATGTCCATGAAATCCTGCAACCGCATGTGTTGCCACTCATGTAACGGCTCCCAGGAGCCATTTTTCAACAAGACAATGTTCGGCCTCATACGGCAAGGGTGTCACAAGACTGTGTCCGTACTGTTACTACCCTTCCTTGACCTGCCCGATCCCCAGATTTGTCTCCCATCGGGAATATCTGGGATTATTTGGGATGGCGAGATGGGCATCCCACAAGTTTGAACGAACTAGAGGGAAGGTTACAGCAAATATGGAACGAAATGTCTCAAGACATCATACAGAACTTAGATGCCTCAATGTCCGATCGTATCGTATCATGCATTCGCGCTAGAGGGTGTCCAACGGGGTATTAACTCCTCCGTTCTTTTGCCTTTATCTCTGAAATAAATTATCCTTTTTCTTTGATTTTCTAATCATTTACTTATATCAAAGTAGTCATTACGTATGTAAAATTTTGTTTCATTTTGACGACTCCTTCTTGGTGCGCTAATTTTTTTGTCCATGAGTGTACATTAAATGCAACAGCCACAACAGCCGTCTCTTTTCAATACTTTGCAATGAGATGGGCTCAACGTATGAGTGATTACTGTTACACACCGAAGTCAGATGGCTTTTACGTGTGAAAATACTACGACGGAAATTTGATTTGAGAAATGAAGTGTACATGTTTTTAATCGAAAAGAAACATAGATTGGCAAGTTATTACAACAATGAAGTTTGGCTAGGGAAGCTGAGCTATTTAGTTGATATTTTCGAAAAATCTTAACGACTTAAATTTGAGCTTGCAGGGTGAGAATTCAACTATCATAACTGCAGCCAGTAAAATTCAAGCTTTTAAGAATAAGCTTAGTCTCTGGCAAACTGAACTGAATAAAAACANGATTTGTCTGATATATCAAATATGCAGTATCAAAAAGAACTCGCAGAAATGCAAAATTATGAGTCAGTTAAGACTTTATTTAATATAAAGGGAGTGATGGCATGGCTTTGTGAGGAAACAGAAAACAAATACCCAAATTCAAACAATTGTGCAAGAAAACTATTGCTACCGTTTCCATCTTCATATTTAGCTGAATTTGGATTTAGTGCTGTAAATGATTTACTGCTAAAAAAGGAAATCGTCTGGATATAACACAATGGGGATACTTGAGACTGAAGCTAACCAAATTGGAACCTAACATAAAATCTCTGTGCAGCAAGGATCTCACTAAATTAAAATATTAAATTATTATAGAAAAATCTTTATTAAAGCTATTTGAATTTTAGTTTTTCATTATATGTTTTGAAAATTTATTTACTGTGTTTCGCTAACAATTTCATAGTGATTTCTTCCAAAAACCTATCATTTAAGTTTCTTAAGTGAACAATTCAATTTTTTAATATTAAAAATTATGTATATGTTACATAGGGGGGCATAAGAATTTTAGAATGACTTAGGTGGGACATGGCACAAAAAAGGTTGGGAAGCACTGCGTTTGAGTTAAGTAATGGTCTTCATTTGGGCGTTGTTTATCGTCTACGCCCTTACCCTGATCTTCGACCTGCATTTCAAGTCTCCAAAGAACGGTTCCAGATCCTCTAAATCACACTTTGTGAAACTCCAATGGCGTCTGCTACGTCGGCTTATGTTTGCCCCCTCCCCCTAACCGGCGAACAACTCTCCAAGCTTCTGATTTGGTTGATAATGACTTTGCTGAGATAACGCACTCATCGAAACAACGCAATCACTGAATGTCGATCATTCTTTTCCGCTTTGTCTTACATTAAGTTGAAAGCCAAATCAAATTCGTTGCTTCCAAAGCGCCGTCTTTGACGTCAAACTCAAAATTTTCGTACTGCGAAAGTTGAAAATAAGAAAAATTTGCATTTGTGACTCTCTTCTTCCATTTTATGCAGAAAAAAAAAAGAAAAAAAATGCTTATACTGTAATTTTATACAAGATTTACAATATCCTTTAACTGTTTGGAGCAGTGTAATTTGTCTCGATTATACGTTTTCTAAATATCCTTGATTATGATTCAATACTTTAAATTTTGGCAATTATTTTTTTCAAAAAAAAGCAAGGAAACTGGTATTTTACTTTTTTTTTTTTTACTTAACTGTGTATTGCTTTTTGTTTATGTGAATTTATCGAATTCCCATAAATGGAAGATATAAGTACCTTTACTCTTATTAAATATTTTTAATTTTATTTGCTTAGCTCAGCCACACTGCTAAATAAAAAGAAATTGAAATCTAAGAAACCATGATTTATTATTATTTAAATATTTACGAAAAAACAATTATTTGAATAAACTTATTTAAGGTCAATTTGTTATATGTTCTTTATACTAAATTGAGGAAACAGTGTAATCTGTTGTGTACTAAAATTGGGGAAATAGCATAAAAAGCTAACATAAACCCTTTGATGAGTTGACTATTTGGGAAAACTATGAATGATTAGTCTATTCTTAAAACCATTCAATTCATAGTTACCTTCTTGTTGAGTTCTTGTTGAGTTAGCTTATTGGAATACCTTGAACAAAAGCAAGCAAGCAGCGCAGGCTTTTATAAAATTTATACGTACAAGATTTTGCTGATAATATTATGTTAATGTAATGTTAGCGCAATGTTTATGTCATATTTATGTAATATTATTGCAACGTTAATGATGTAATGTTAGCGTCAATATAATGTTGATATAAACGTTAATGAAATGTTAATGTAACTTTAAAGTAGATGTTATTTTAAAGTAATGTAATTTAATGTTAAATTAAAGTTAAGTAATTATATATAAAGTATTACGAAATTGCGCACCTTTATCTGATTTAAAGTTTTTAACTCAGGCATGTGCTGCTCCCTAAAAAATTAAGTGGTGAGTAATGGATTTGAAACTTGCTATCAAATTTTCATATTTTAATTTATGACAAATAAAATGGTATAAATAAAATAAATAAGTAAAATAAATAAATAAAATAAATAAAAAAAATAATCATATTTATCTGTTTATTAGCTATTATTCGCTACTTCATAAAGGAAAAATAGTTATTTTGTTATACAGAACACTCCATTCACGCTAGATTGTAGAAAAGTATATTAAAAAACATAATATAAAATAAAATTAAAGAAAATTAAAGCCGATCCTTGCAGGGTATCGAACCCAGGACATCCGGGACTGCATANTTCTGATGTTCTCGTTGAGTTAGCTTTTTTAAGTACCTTGAACAAAAGCAAGCAAGCAACGCAGGCTTTTATAAAATTTATACAAGATTTTGCTGTTAATATTATGTTAATGTAATGTTAATGCAATATTTATGTAATATTATTGCAACGATAATGATGTAATGTTAGCGTCAATATAATATTAATATAAGCGTTAATGAAATGTTAATGTAACTTTAAAGTAATGTAACGTCGATGTTATTTTAAAGTAATGTAATTTAATGTTAAATTAGAGTTAAGTACTTATATAAAATTACAATATTGCAGTCCTTTATCTGATTTAAAGTTTTTAACTCAGGTATGCGCTGCTCCCTAAAAAAACAAGTGGTGAGTAATGGATTTCAAACTTGCTATCAAATTTTCATCTTTTGATTTATGACAAATAAAATGGTATAAATAAAATAAACAAATAAATAAATAAATAAATAAATAAATAAATAAATAAATAAAATAAATAAAATAAATAAATAAATAAATAAATAAATAAATAAATAAATAAATTAAGAAATAAATAAAATGAATAACAGAGCAGATAGCGAATGGGTTGCAGAATGCACCAACAATTACTTGAGCTTTATTAAGATTATGCAACAATTCTAATTACTACATTTAAACGATTAACTTCCAAGCTCAGCATTTTACGGATTCTAAGTGATGAAATTGTTGGCATAAATGGCGACATTGCTCAACCACTCTCTCTAAAAATACGATGGCTCTCTCATACTCGTTTTGATTAAGCAAGAAAGAAAATATTCGTGTCGGAAAACTTTGGAACACGAGGGAGACAGAAAAGAGAAACAAGTAAACACCTCGATGATTCGTTTTCTTTTCTTTCTTTTTCTTCTTTTTAATGCCGCGTTTTTATGTAACACTTCTCGCCGTAATATATATTCTTAGAATGGGGCTAAATGCCAGATAGAAAAGTGCACTGAATCTTTTTTCTTAGGGTTTAAATGGAAAGAACATCGGATTGGTGAATCATTCCAAACCACCTTATGTCAACTGCTGTTTTCCGTCGCCGTTTGACATAACCACCTCGGCAGCTTCAGTGCTGCTCGCACAATCGCATTTGAGTCGAAGGTTTGATACAATTCTTTAGTGAAAATGACTGCGTATTTAGACAGATATGTACCAAAAAGTGATTATTTATCATCGCGATGTGGTAGTTCACCAGTGGTACGTATATGTATTATTTTTCGTTGCTTTTTATCTCGAGCTTATAAATGAAGATCTCGAGAGTGGCTAATACATTTTTCAAAAACAATTGATAAATAAGCATTGTTAAAGAAAAAAAATGGCGGAAAAATAACCTTACATAGCAACAACTTTCGAACAAATAGGAATTTGGAGGAAAAAAAAAAGGAAGGACACTTATTTTATTTTCAGTACGTCAAACTTCAAATCTGTTTGTTGCATTTCATCTAGCTGTAAATCATTCTGCCTATTTTTTTTTATAACAAGTTTAACAAATGATAATTCTTGAGCTAAACATCGAATCCTTGCTCCTAAGCTAAACATGCTCCTTGGACAGTTTTCTACTCTTCTTATTTTTTAAATTTTCACGTTTCTGGATTTTAAAGTTCCTGTATAGCAAAACAAAATGTAGCTTTAAGCAAAATAAATGAGAGAAAATTCGTACAAAAATATTAAAACTGAAATGGTTTTTGAACAAATTGAACAGCTTTTAAACAAATTTCGAACAAGTTCATAAACAAAAATGACCCTTTAAGCACATCATATTTCAATTACGTACTTGCATTATTGTGGTCTGCAGAGTAGCTTTCATGGTACTTTTTAACACAAATTTAACGGTTAATTATTCTCAAAATAATTATCAAAAGTTAATTTTTTTTATTCCACCATAAACTTCGTACATTTTTTTACACATCTCCGTATTTTTAAATTTTTAAAGTTCTCACGCCGAAACAAATTGTAACATAAAGTTGAACATCCGAAACAACGATGATGGTGCTTTTGATTTTTATTTAAAAAAATTCATAAGTATTTTTAATTTTAATGTATTTGTAAATATTATTTAATCCGAAATGTTTACTTCTTTTCCTCTAAAATATACACATTAACGCATTCATAGAGGCTGACCTCATATATGTTACAGTTTATGTATGAAATCTGGCATTTTATAGAATGCCTTAAATCAACCATCAATTTATGAAATGATAAATATTTCACATTATGTATTTGCATTCTGTAGAATGATTAATAACAAACTAGCAAAGTATGAAACAATTAATGTTTCGCACATTGCCAAGGCATTCAATAAAATGACTAATTGAACATAAAGCTATTCTATGCAATGACTAGGAAAAAGTATAGAATAATTGTTATATTTAATACATTGTCTCTCTCTTTCTTAACATTTCCTCATTCTATACAATGCCTTGGCATTCTATATAACTCTTGACTTCTTGTATAACTTATGCTTCCATGTCTCATGCTTTGATTTTGAAAAGAACAGCATTTTTTACACTAACTGGCTTTACAGCCGCTATGGCTCAGGGGATAGAGTGTTCACCTTCCAATGAGGTGAACCGGGGTTCGATCCCGGCGATGGCTGGTCGATACGAATTCCGTATCTGGCTTGCACAGATCACAGTGCTGACGTGAAATGTCCTCAGTGGTAGACGGATCATGGCTTAGAGTCCCCTTGCCGCCAGGCTAACCGTGGGAGGTTCTCGTGGTCTTCCTCTCCATGTAACGCAAATGCAGGTTAGCTCCCTCAAAAAGTCCTCCACGAAGGCAAATTTCTCCCAATGCTCGATCCAGGAGTTCCCTTGTCTTCTAAATTGGGTTCAAAATTACAAGGCTACGGAGTTGAACATTAGTAGTCGTAAACCCATAAAATTGGGTCGGCTGTTCAACGACGGTTATAAAATAACTGGCATTCTATGTTGTATTTCATATAGAGAGGGTAACTAACATATACAATTTAATTTAAATTGTAATTGTAAATACAATTTTGCTTGAATTCTGTTCTCTTGTAAGTCTTGTTATTAAATTTTTATATGTTACAGTGTAAATGACCAAAATCTGGTGAATGTATACTTTTACCTGTGATTGTCAACAATCACATAGTCGATTGGTGAATATCCGAAATATTTATTACAGCCGATTTGATACTAATATATTCATTGATATTTTTATATTTATTTAATACTTTACTCCCCGAATAAAATAGATAAGGAAAAGCATCATTGTTAGAAATACAATGCAAATATATACAGGGAAGTGGCACTTAACCTTAAGAAAATCAGTGTAAGGCATACAGGACAGGTGTATACAGTACAAAGATTTTTAAACTTTATATAAAAACATTAAGGTAGAGAATACCGGTTATTATCCCCAGACTTGCACGGTATTCCCAAGACTGATTTTTCGTAATCTATCTTAATCATACATTAAAGCATCGAATAAATATTAAAATATTAATGAATAAATTAATATAAAGTCTGATCTAGCATATATTTCGGATATCTACCCTAGCAACAATTTTATCTTGACTCCAGTTTGGCTCAATATGGGTCCTGTATGAACACGCACCGTGGGACCAATATTGGGATGCCTAGACTTTTAATATTGTTCCTATATAGGGCCAATATCAGCCTTTATGTGGCCAATATAGAGCCTATATTGGTTGTAAAGTGGCTGTAAAATATCTAATGAATCGGACAATTCTTTATAGGACCAATATCGAAAAAATAACGGCCTTTTGAACCCTTATTGGTCCAATATTCGTGAATATTGGTCCAATGAGGGCCCAAGTTATTTTGTTGCTAAGGTACTGAATTGACGATGTGATTGTTGTGAAAGTTGACAATCACCAAATTCGGTCTTTCGCAGTGACATATACTGTACATTTTAAAAATTTTTGTCATCAGCTGCTCCGAAGACGATCTCCTCTTCCACGATTCAGTACTCTTCGAAAAGAACGACAACCTCGACCCCTCTCCTTGTCTTTCTTGAGTTCTAAGCCGATCGACCGAGAAGATTATTTTCCTGTCACATACGCCCACTCTCATCTGACCAGAAAAGAAATTCCTCTCTGCACTATTAATGATCTTCTGGATATCATCCGAGAACCTGCAGGTTACTATGAACTGCCCACCGACCCCTGGAACGAAGTCTATCCCAATATATATTTGAGTGATGCGTAAGTTGGATACACTTACATTGATATCTCTTATGTACAGGGTGTTCATTTTAAGTTGCCAAATTAAAACCTTGTAACCAAGAACCACTGATCTAAAAGAACAGAAATTTAGACAGTATGCTTTCAAAACAATAAGTTTTTTAAGAGTAATTAATAAAACTTAAAATCACACTGATAGATGGCACTGTATGTGCAGTAAAGTCAGGAGACGAGCTTGCGCAGGATATACACACAGTAGTCATAAAAACATGAAGCTTACGCACCTCGTGTTCAATTATTCGGAGGATATACTTGCAATAACTGTACTATTGACGGATCATGCATTGAGGATATCCTTAGTTTCTGTTAGCTTACATCGCCATCTATCGGTGAGATTTTAAGTTTTTCTTTACTATGCCAAAAAATTTCCCATTGCTGTTGAAAATTAGTTTTTTTAGATCAGTTTTTTTTGTTACAAAATTGTTATTTCACAACTTAAAAAAATCACCCTGTACACTCGTTTATGATTTTTATTTAAAAGTGTTGTGCAAATTCTGAGTGGACACTTGTGACAGCTCCTGAAATATGGTAGTGATTTCGGCACCATTATTGAGGCAGATGCTTCGTAGACTGTGTGTAGTTTGTCAACCAGTTCTCATGAGAGCATTTAAAGGGAATGTAAAGTTGTGCTAAGAATGATGTGTCCAGAATCGATAAATATTAAGTAGAATGATTTTTAGTGTTAGGTGATTTCTCTGTGCCTTTAATCAGAATGATTTCTGCATAGTTGTCTGAAGTCATTAAAACCATTTTATCATCTGGGATAAATCTTCATATTATGCTTAATTTTAAACTCTTAATTTATACAGCTTTATTTTGTCCATGAATTTTTATTCACTTTGCTGGCAGACAAAGTGGTTAATCAGTTACAGTACATAAGCATAATATACAGTTAGCATAATATACACAGTCAGTGTTTTATTATGCTAAACTTAAGAAATATCCGTGTATAGTAGGCACTTAAAACGTTACTGTATTTCTGACGCTATTACGCGTGTTTACTTTTTATTTGGACAACCCTTTTATTCATTGGATGTTTTATAATATGCACCTTCCATAATAAGCCTAATATTTCTCAATATGTTTGAAATATTTCTCAAATTTGAAAGCAGAGAAATATTTGTATTTAGGGTCGCAAATTAATATTTAAAATAAAAAGAAATATGTTGTGTAGCCTAGTGAGTTATAAAGAGAAAGATGTGATCAAAACGAACGTGATTTGATTGAACCTGAAAAATTATACAGAGGAAAGTTGATTATTAGAAACTCTTTCAAGTTTTCTCCCGAAGTCATACCGATTTTTAGCAATTTTAATTCCGCCTCCCTCGATAATTATTCATCAGATATTGACAGCACTTTTTTTTCTTTCCTTAAATATTAATTTTCACCACCTAATGGGAAAATTTTTATCACTTCTTTTTGGTCATGGATTTTGAAAATATCAATTACGGTGATGACTGAAGCAATGGCATATTTGCAATCCTAGCAGAAACGACAGCCTCGTAATATACGTTTTTCAAAATTTTGTAAAATATTAAGTCAAAAATTTATGTACATTAGGACCAGTTTACACGAGAAACAAATAAATGTTTACGTGAGAAAAAACGAAAATATTTCTGTACTCTGGTAGCAGTTATCGGGAAGAGGAAAGATTGAATTAAACTCTTTGTCAACATATTAAGCGAATGAAGATTTTGCGATTTTTCCAATTTCGTTACCATGGTTTTGGCAAATCAGTATATTCGTGAAAATATAATAAAGGTAATTATAAAAATGGTGATTATAAAAATAAAGATGCATATTTACCTTTTCTGCTTACACCCCTCTAATGGTTGAGTTATGCTGCTTTCCACAATCTCCAACTTAACTGTATACATGCTAACGATCAAAAGCCGTTAAATATTGTACAATATCTTGATAATATGCAGATCAACTAGGGTAATAGTATAATCCGTTAAAATGCGAATTCGAGAGTTTTCTGAGATTTACCTAGGTTATGTACGATTAATAGTTTCCGTATCGTTAAAGTTTGATTGTTTGACTTGATTCTTCAGATATTGAAAAACAAAATAAAAGAAATGACAATATATTAATTTCACAAATTGTTACAATATTTTCTGTTAATAATTAATTGTAATAATATACATATATAAACTGCTTGATTCTTTGTATCACAGTTTTTAAAGTGATTGATTCTATCTACTAATGTGTTCACTGATTGGTTGAAATAATTTGAGGTTTTAGATAACGAAAATTTAGTAAAAAACATTATGCGAATTTACAGATGGTACTGTAATCATTCACAGTAATTCTGATTCTGTATCAGTTGTGTGGCAGGCAACGAATTGAAATGGAAGGTATATTGGAAAACCTAACAGATATCACACCAGTAAATATAATTTTTTTCTCGGTTTACAATTATTAAATTGGATTCTTATTAAATGTGCCTCTTTTATTGAAGTGATACTTCTGATGCGACTTCCAACAAGGCTGCGTTAAACGTTTAACGCTACATTTTTATTGGCCGGGAAATCACGTGGTAGGATCCAGTTTTCCCTCATTCACATTGTTTTGGTTCTCACTAGCATAAAAATAATAAAAGTATTGTTTTTCTATAAATATTTTAGTTTGATTTGATACACATATAATTTAATAGGGCAGTATTTTTTATTTTCAAACTTAGTGGATAACAATTGTAAAAAATGAGTGAAAACAATCCCACAGACAATGCGACGGATTTAAGGTTATGTCAAGGAACGTCTCTTGTGAATATCAGTTGATTGTTAGGTTTTCTCTTTTCTAATTGCCATTTATATTTCACCAAATGCAGCCATGAGGGATATTAAATTATTTATTGCAAAATCTTTATTGCCACTATCCACTGCAGGTTCACAAGCTCTGGCAGGCGTTACTGGTGAAGAAATTGATTATTGTGAGAGGCCTGTGATCCTTGCAGGATATTTTAATGTGAATTTCTCGTTACCTGAAGCTGAAACATTATTAACCTTCCTTAAAGACAAATTTGGATTGGAAATGATAAATGGTAGGAATGATCCAACAACCAAAGGGGTAACTACCATTGATGCAGTTTTTGCAAGAAATATTGAAAAAATAGAACTCAAACATTTCGTATCTTACTTTAGTTATCATAATCCCATTGTAAATATTATAGATTTGGATATTTCTCCACTCGAAAATGATAATTAGAAGATGCTATCAATTGTGAATTGTAAGCATTGTTAATAAAGTTTGTCTTAAACAATATGATTTCTCTAAAAATCAATTTCTACCCCTTCCTATTTTCATTTCCACATTACGAAGTTTCACTTCCTACGCGCGGAGGGACTCCACGCACTATTTTTCAATGCATCATTCTACACCGAACCATTCTGCAATAAATAGTTCTATCCCAATATCATGATTTTTTTATACTTTTTTTTAAATCTAACAACTGCCGTGAGTTTCACAAATTTAATTCCTCTTCAAGAGAGATTTCATATTTTTATCTTCTAATCGGGAATTCGGTGGATAGCAACAGTTGGTAATTTTTGGAGTTTCAAAAAACGTTATGTGAACACGAAAAATCATATTTTAATCATTGAATTTAAAATGTTCAACAATTAATAATTATGTTGAATGTGAATCAAAATTTTCTGAAAAATGCCAATATTTATTCATTATCCAGACCAACTGCTCTCTGCACTTCATTGCTGAGACGTATGGGAATTACACATGTTCTGAATGCAGCTCAAGGAAAAGAGAAACATTGTGGACTCGTCAACACGTGGCCTGGTTTCTACACGCATTTAGGAATCCAGTTTCTGGGAGTACCGGCTTTTGACAACATAGTTTTCAAAATTCATCCATACTTTGAAGATGCTGCCAACTTCATTGATGAAGCCTTACAATCAGGAGGTATTTACTTTTAAAGCACAACTATCATAGATTAGAGGTTTTTTTTTACTTACTTGCAAGATAATCTTACTATTCATCAATTTGAATTAATACCGGCAGATAGCTGCAATATTTGTGCTTTTAATATAATGGAAGCATGTGTGTACTACATACTACATAGAATGTGTGTACTACATAGAATGTGTAGAATGTGTGTACTACATACATGAAAGTTTTATTTTGGATATAGGGCCATTCCAGATTTTTCTTAAAATTCATAACAGTGGTCGATGAATATTTTTAATAAGTCCCTCTTTCTTGTTGGATATTATTGATAAGGTATAATTGTGTGCAATTTAACGTATATTTATTCTATGAGTAGGTTTGTATGCTATCTACACCACGACCTTGAAAACTAATATTTCAGTAAAAAAAAGGTTATTAAAATCTGACGAATTAATAACAAGAAAGAAGTGAAAAAACACCGAAACCAGTTTGTTTGCTTCCTGAAATTTGAAAATGATTCTAACAATCACATTTCAGTTTCCTTATTCAATTAAAGAGGTGGTTTAAATGCATTTATTATTATGTTATAACCGTAGTTGAACAGCCGACTCATTTTTTTTTTTTGGATTTACGTCCACTAATGTTTAAATCCGCAGCTTTGTAATTTTGAACCAATCCAGAAGACAAGGGAATTCTTGGATCAATTATTAAGAGAAATTTGCCTTCGTGGTGGACTTTTTGATGGAAATAACTTTGTGTTACATGGGGAGAAAAACCGCAAAAACCACCCACGGTAAGCTTGATGACAAGAGGACTCTTACCCATGCTCCATCTACCACTGAGGATATTTTACGCCAGCACTGTGATCGGTGAGCCAGGTGTGGAATTTGATTCGACCAGCCATCGCTGGGGTTTGAACCCGGTTCACCTCATTGAAAGGCGACCGCTCTATCCACTGAGCCACAAAATAAGCTATGTACCTAAAAAGCAAAATTAATGAAGCAATGATACTAATTCATTTAGGAGAAGCATAAAAATCACCCAAACTATTATTGTCACCAATTATGTTTGATTGTTATGGTAATAGGTACTGATTGAAATAAAAAAATAAACTACGCTCTAAAAAGTAAGTGTAATGGAAAAATGATACTAATTCATGAAGGAGAAATGCTGAAAATTGCCAAATAATGAATAATACCACTGTTGCTTAATTAATTTTGGTAATACTTCCTAATTGAAGCTAAAAAATAAGCTTGTTACTATAAAGCAAAATTGATGGACAAATGGTATCCATTTTTTTTTGTTTAGGAGAAAAGTAAAACCTCGCCATGCTATTTTTGACGCTAATGATGTTTAATTAATTTTGGTAGCACTCACTACTGGTATTACGGTAATTTATGCAGTTTTAATTGGTACCAAATATATATTAAGTATTTTTAGTGTCTATTAAAACTGCATCCATACTATGCAGTTATGATATTGATACTGTAACGAATCAAGCTATATTGAAGAAAAGTTTATTTTATAAAAAAAACGTATTTATTTCACACAACATCAGCACACCACAAAGAGAAAAAAAAACTTTTCAAATTAATCAACAAATTCCAAAATTGTCTCGTTCTTTTATTTTTTTCTCGATCTCGTTATACGTTTTTTTAAATTCATGCTTGTGTTAGCCAGATATTTTTAAAACTTTATAATACTGTGGAAAGATAGTTTTTACGAGCGTTTGAAATGGCTAAGACGTATCTTAAGATTAAGGGCTTTGAAAGAAGTACCAGAAAAAATCTCTGAATTGCTGTAAATTTTTGACAACAATGAGTTGGCTTGGAGCAGTATCATCATACGAAATGATAACTACTGAAAACAAACTGCTAACCGAGTTTCGCTAAATCTTATAACGCAAAGCTACCGAGAAGGACAAATAATAATAAAAAATATAAAAAATTTGAATTATTTTTCTTATGTTAGTTATTTCGGTGTTTGACTTGTGCATGATTTTGTAGTGTTATTCAGTACTGATTTATTGATTTTTCACGTTTTTTCGCCACACCGTTCTTAAAAGGAGTGTTCAACAAGCATAGTATAATAACAATGCATATCATGTCTTATAGGCAAAGTTTTGGTGCATTGCCAAGCTGGTATCAGCAGATCTGCTACACTCATCTGTTCTTTCTTGATGCTGAAACGTGGACTGACAGTGCAAGAAGCTGTAAAGTCGGTTCGCAAAAATCGAGCAATCATTCCCAATGATGGATTTTTACAACAACTCTGTGATCTCAATGATAAACTCAATCGAAAATATAATCCAATGGATTAATTATAAATGAACAGTGTGACATTTTGTAAATTAAATATCATTTGGGGGGATATTCTCCTTTTATCGATAGCAGATACTGGGTGTTTCGTAAGGACCATCCTTAATATGTATTTTTTAAGAATCCTTCTCAAAACTGAAATAAGCTCATTAGGAATCGAAAACTAATATTTAAGAAACGAAGGAATATAAACTCTATTGAAATTCGTGGTATCACTAATGAGAAAGACGTCTTTTTTTATTTAAAAGAGGCAGAAATATAAAAGTGAAAAGTCGTGGTATCACTAGTGAGAAAGACGTCTTTTTTTATTTAAAAGAGGCAGAAATATAAAAGTGAAAAGTCGTGGTATCGCTAGTGAGAAAGACGTCTTTTTTAGAGAGGAAGGAATATAAACGCTATTGAAATTTGTGATATCACTAGTGAGAAAGACGTCTTTTTTTATTTAAAAGAGGCAGAAATATAAAAATGAAAAGTCGTGGTATCACTAGTGAGAAAGACGTCTTTTTTAGAGAGGAAGGAATATAAACGCTGTTGAAATTCGTGATCTCACTAATGAGAAAGACGTATTTTTTATTTAAGAGAGGAAGGAATATAAACGCTATTAAAATTCGTGGCATCACTAATGAGAAAGATTTCCTTTTTTTTATTTAAGAGAGAAAGGAATATGTAAGATAGATTTTCATAATGTTTTCTTTTCTTCTTTTAAATAACAATTAGCATACTTTTTTAACTTTATATTTGATAAGGATTCTAAAAATTTATATTAAGAACTGTTATTATAAAATTCCCTTCATATCTACGCAAGTAAGTTACCAATATCTGAACCAGCACTTTGGTTTCAAAACAAATCCAATCATCAGGCCTTTTGTTTTAAAAAAATGTAATTTTGAGGATTTTGAACCTGTCTAGTTTTTATGAAAGCATGCATTTGCCTTTTTAAACGTTCTTTTGAGAGAAAAAGAATTTTACTTCCTAAATGTCCGAAGCTTTCTTTTTTTATTAAGTAAATAATTAATATTTTTGAAGTATTTCTTTCTCACTTTATTTATTTATCTATTGAACTTAGTTACTGCTTTTTAAATTGTAAGATTGTATATATATTTTTAAAACTTGGATTTTAGGAAGCTTTAAGGTTTGAGGAAATTTTAAAAAATATTTACAATTTTTGAATTTAAAATTCGGTAACTAAGTTCAATAGAACGCAATTCAATGAATGAAATGAAACAAAAATTATTCAAAAATTTCGGACATCAAAATTCGGATATCAGAATTCATTTGTAGGTTAACATGGAGGAAATAGAATCCTTTTTTTGTTTTGTTTGAAGGGCACCTTTAAGGTGTAATTTTGTTTCAGGAGACCCAAAAGAGCCCATAGATTTGAAATAATAAATATCACAAAATTTTAGACATACAATTTTTTAAAATTTGTATCAGATTAAAACATTTTAAAAGTAAAAAAAAAACTAGTTTTGTTTTTTAACATAGAAGAGTCTAACTTAAGCAATTTCAAATTTCCTTAAATTAAGCAATAAAAACAAATGTTAAAATTTAACATAAATTTTTACAGTTGAAAAATGAACTAGAAATATTTTTAATTTTTGAATAACAAGTCAGAGTAATGAACAAATAAATGTAAGTTTTTTTCTACACTATAAAAATACATTCAAAAGTAATTAAGGTGCTTAAGATATTCTAAAGTGAAAGAAAACTATTATATAAAAATATAGTTAGTTTAGATTTCGCTATGGTAAAACATCAGTGTTAGGGTTTAAAATTATTGCAATTTATCACAATTTCTTTTAATATCAATCATGTATCAAAATTATAAACACTTATTTGATCATATTACAGTAAAAAAAAATTATGTTTTATATATTGCTCTTGTAAAATTTTTATACAATTGCCTTTAATTTCTTAATACATGTGTCTTTTGTACTGTGTAATGTTCTGAGTTCACAAAAACTGAAAATTTTTACTTTCAACTATTGATCTCCACCATGTGTTCATTACGTTTGTTACATTTTTGATATTATATGAATTTTTATATTGTACGAATGCAGATGGAAATTTATTGAACAAAAAGTGATAACAGTAGAACTTTTTAAATGTTTATTTATTGTTCGTTTGTTTTTATCTTTTTTTCTTAATAAGTTGGTACAGTAACCAATTTGTTTGTTTGATCTCAAGCTTATATTTAATAATTTTAAAACATTATTTATCACAGGTTTTATGTAATAAAAATAAATAGTTTTCGTTTTCATACTTATCTATTTTTTTTTGTCTGGGATGATCTTAATGATTTCAGGGGCTACCTAAAATATGCTAATTAATTATTGCTAACTATCAATTGAGTTACGAAATCAGATACAAAGACTTACATTCCCTGAACAAACAAACACAGACACACACACTATCTGGTCAAAAGTATGAGAACACCCAGTGGTATGAGCCTTGAGCGTCCGGAGGCGCATATTAATATGATGCTGGTCCCCCTTTTGCATCGATGACAGCCTGCATACGTCAGGGAAGACTCTTCGCCAGTTTTTGATAGGTGGCTTCATCCTCTCTTCTGGGCTTCCATCACAAATGAGTCCCGCAGTTAACTGATCGTTGAGACACGGTTCCCAGCAGATCATCGAAGTCAAGCATCACCGGCTGCGGTCAGTGTGCGGGTGGGTTACCACTTGGATCAGTCTGCGTAGAAACCGAGGGTGTGCGGTATTAGTCCTCGTTAAACTGTTCTACCGTAAAGTGCTCGACTTCGCGTGCAAGTCGTCGGGCTACCGAAGGGGGGCATCCCCTCTGCAGAGGATCGAAATTGTGATGGCCTGACTTCGGATCATTCTCTTCCTAAACCTTCGCCAATAGCCCATTGTGCAGCTCTAGTGTGATGTAAATGAACTTCAACTACAACAACAACAAATTAGGTGATTTCTTGCAATGAGGAGGGTCGATCTGCGCTCTAATTCAACCCAAAGGTGTTCTATGGGATTTAGATCAGGGCTCTGAAAAGGCCAGTCTAGTTTTTGAACACCCATTTCATCAAACCACGTCTGTGCAAGCCTCGAGGCGTGAATCGAACAGTTATCCTGCTGGAAGAGAAATGGCCCTTCCCAAAAAATATTGCCATAAAGTTAGGAGTGGAGCAATGTCCAGAATATCCACATACATCTCAGAGTTCATGTTCTCAACCACAAGAACTAACGGAGCCAGGCCAAACGACGAGAAACAACCCCACACCATCATGCTTACACCACCTTAACAATATATACACACATATATATATATATATATTTTGAGGAAATTTTAAAAA